CTCCCCGCTCCTCCATCTGGATCAGTCTTCCCCCTCCCTAAACTGGATCTGCCCCCCCCCTCAAACGGGTTCCCCCCACCACAACCTGTGCAGCCCCTGCACCAGGCGCTCTGCAGCGGGTCACCAATTTTCTCTGGTGCCCGGGGAACTGACAAACAAAAAGCCAAAACCTTTATTTGCAAACTAAAAAGTTATTGCAAAAGGTCGCGAACAATCCCAACCGGGGTTATGAACGGGTTTCCATAGGCATTTTCACAGGATGGGAATTTCCCCGTCGGCCGTCGGAACTTGGGCGATAAAACGCAAAAATAAAAACAAAAATCTACGAAAATCCTTTTTGTTTTCGTTGAGGAAACCCGAATGAAGAAATTCCCGGTGTGACCCTGCACAGATCTACGAGACAAACTCCAAATCTTAAAATGCGGTCGACAGAGTGAGTGTTAGTGTGAAGCAGAGCTGTTCCTCCAAAGAAAGTGGTGGACATATTCCACCCACACCCCCTCCTCCTGTCCTTTCCTCCCGCCATCTCCAATGTCGTTGCTTTCTGGGTGAAGCAGGTACTGTTGTCTCCTTTGACAGGTGCACTGCACATTCCTATAGAGAGTTCTTGTGTGGCGCAGCGGTAACGCTCTTGCTCCTCCAATAAAGGACTCCTGGGTTCAAATCCTATCTACTCCACAAACGTTTCAATCACTTAAACACTTTGTTAAAAAAAAACAAATTCTATTTGTAATATCTCAGTGCAAGCGAGCATTTAGGAGTGAAGTTCAGTCCCGAGTCTAACACACATGTAAATCTCAAGAGTGTTAACCACGTCAGCCCCCGGTCGGTGCGGACAGTTCCTAGAGAGTGGCTTCACTTACTTGTCGTGTTCCTGTGTCATCTTCTTCTCCCCTTATACACAAACACACACACACAAGGTCGGTCCAACTGGACTTTCAAGTTGGGCCAATGTTCGGCTAAACCCGAACCACCAGCGTCTCCGCTCAGAGCGGGAGCAGAACGGGTTTTTCTGAAATGTTTTTGTTTATTCTCTAACTCACTCGGCCAGTTGTGTTGCAGCGATTCAGGTGTATTGCGGGTTTCAATACGATTGGACTGTCGGTGTAGTTTTTTTTCCTCTGTCTTTCCCCCACCGATCTGATGCCTGATGTGATTGGACATGCTAATGAACCCAGGTAAATTGGGTGTGATCTCAGTTTTCTTCCGACAACCTGTCCCCACTGAGTCAGTGTTGTTGGGGCTGTGTTAAATTTACACAGAGCTGCTTTCAGAGTTGATGGGGATGGGGATGGGGAGGGGGAGGGGGAGGGGGATGGGGGGCGGCGGGGGTAAGTCTGGGTGTTGTCCTCCAAAAACATTTATGTGGCGCCTTTCACTACTTCAGCAGATCCCAAAAGACTTTGCAATCAGTGAAAATCCTTTCGTGTGGTCGCTGTTGCAGGGAATTTCACATTTTACAGGTTGATAATGACTGGATAACTAATTTCAACAGTATTCGCTGAGTGATAAATATTGGACAGTGGAACACCCCGACTTTTCTCGGCTTGGATATTTGACAACCATCTGAGGAAAGACTGGAACACCGTTTAACACCAAGAAGGTGGAACGGCCAACACTGTAGCACTCCCTCAGCACTATCACAAACATAAGCAGAAAGCAGCTCATCAAGCGTGTTTGCACACCGCATTAAACATCGCAGATAGCAAATCATATCACAATAAACTATATTTAATTTAAATGTCCCAAAGGACTGTGCTTAATCCACTCTTGTTCATGACAATGGTTTTAGGCTTGAATTTCGCGTTGGGATCATAGCTAAAGTGGTGTCGAAGTTGCAGAAAATTATTTGAACATTGAGCTGAAGTTCCGCGATGTAAATCCCCCACTGCAACACAACAGGGACAATTAGTGGTATGCCAGAATTCAACAAACTTCTCCTTTCTGTAGATTTTATTTTGAAGGGAGGTATAAATACATTCTTGAAGTTGTATAAGAAATATTAACAATAAGTAACAATCCATAATAAACAGGTGCAATGGGTAAAAATGAGGGATAGTGCAATTTGCTACATGTAAAGAATGTTGGGTGAGACAGTTAAATGATGTTAAAGTGGGGCATCCTGACAACTGCAAATCTGTTTTTAATTGCTTGGTAGCATAGCACTTGAGCATTGTTAAAAAAAGACACAATCTTGAAGCTTTTCATCATCCACTCATTATGCAAGAAAACAAATTTAGAAAGGGAGCAGCGATTTTTACAGCATTAAAAGAGGATGCTGATTGGTTTGACAAGGGTTTGCATTGAGATGCAGCAGTAACTGCTAGCTGTCACACTTAGCTGATTAAATTCAGACCAGGAAAGTCCATTCTGAAAGAATGGGAGAGATAATGGCCCAGAGACAGTTATCAGCACCTACAGGAGGAGAAGGGAGAACTCACAGTCACCAGCACCTAAAAGCACACACTAGACAGGGAGTGGACACCAGCTAAAAATGTGAAGAGAAAAAAAGTTTAGAAGTGACATCACAGCAACGTTGCACTGCGCATTTCTGACAATGTATATGTACAAAGATATTTTTTACGAATAAAATATATTTTTGAAATAAAAAAGTTATACATTGTTTGGTTTTTAAGCAGTGCTGCTAGGGGATGTATTTCAATGTCATTAATTTTGAAAAAAAAGTAACATAGGGAAAGAAAGAACTTATGCGCACAGGAAAAGAGGCTGATTGTAAGGGCAAGAGATAGTAAGACCTGCTTAGGGGACCCAAAAAGTCAACTTTCCTACTCCTCTGATGCTGCCTGGCCTGCAGTGTTCCTCCAGCTCAATACAAATAGTATTTCAGAAAGAAAATGTTTCAGAGAGTTCAAGGGCAACGTTGATTTGGCTAGAGTTAAGAATCAGAAGAATGCAATTAAATTCTCAGTATAATGTGTAGACCACTACTTTGTGGGAAAGATATAGAGGAAGAAATCTACAAATAAATTACAGATAGGTGTAAATATCAGAGAAGTTATAACTTTGATTACCCATAGATCAACTGGTAGTGTAGGGGAAGCAACAGATAAGCATTCTTAGATTGTGTTCATGAGAGTGTCTTTAACAATATGTCCAGTCAAATGAGAATTATCAAATGAGGACCTGGTTCTTGAGAATAAGACGTGTCAAGTAGATCAAGTGACAGTGGAGATTTAGGGAATAAAGATCATTATATCATAAGGCTCAGGATGACAATAGAAAATGACATTAGTAATCCAGAGAAACAAAAATCGACTGGCAGAGATCAGACTTCAATGGGCAGGAACAGAACTAGACCAGATAGATTGGAGCCAGAAGTTGGTGGTTGATACCACGAAGATGAAAGACTGTACAAACAAACCAGCTTCCTGGGTGTCAAAGGTGTTAGAAATTATGTTAAAGCAGAAAAAATGTGCTTAAGGTAAGTATCAGCTAATAAACAGTATTGAGAACTAGGCTGATTGCAGAGGTGAAGTTTGAGAAGGGAAGACAGAAGTGCAAATACAAGAAGCAAATAAGGATTATAATAAAATATTGGCAGTCAATATAAAAGGAAATCCCAAAGTCCTTGTAAAAGAGTGACACAAGGAGTAATAGGGTGGATTAGGGTCCAAAAGGAAGATTTACACAGGCTTGGCTGAAATGTTAAACTTTGCATCTGTCTCTATGGATACAGCCCAGGCCATCATGATGGAGGAGGAATCTCAGTCACTAGAAAGGTGTAAAATTGATAAAGAGGGGGTATTGGATAAGCTATCAGTACTTAAGGACAATAAGACATTGGGATAGGATGAGATGCATCCTAGGATACTGAAGGACATGATAATGGAAATTGCAGTGGTGCTGGCAATTGTATTTGAATCTTCCCAGGTGCTGTCAGAAGATTGGAGAATTTGAAAAGATTGGTCTGGCAATTGCAGACCAATCAGTTTAACTTTGGTAGAAACAACTTGGAATATAATTAATAGTCAAACAGAGAAAGGTAGATTCAGCAGAATTAGCATGGATTGGTTGGGGGAAAATTTTGTCTAATTACTGGACGTTTTTGAAGAGGTAACAGAGAGGATCAATGAGGGGAAGGTTGTTAATACAGAGAGGATCAAGAGGGGAAGGTTGTTAATGTGATGGACTTCCAAAAGTCATTTGATACAGGGCCACACAACAGACTTGTGAGGAAAGTTATAGGTCATAGAATAAAAGGGACAGTAGCAAGATGAATACAAAAGTAGCTGAGGAATAGGAAATACAGTAATGGTTAATAGGTATTTGTTGGGCTGGAAGGAGGTTTGTAGTGGAGTTGCCTTGCAGATTGGAATCTTTATCTTTTCTGACAAATATAAATGATCTACATCATGGTGTACAGGTGACAATTTCAAAGTTTTTGATGCTATGAAATTTGAAAATTGTAAACTGTGAGGAGGATAGTGCAGAGTTTTGAAAAGAAATTGACACAGTGGAGTAGGCCGATAGCTGACAGATGAAGGCCAATGCGGGAAGTATGCAACAATGCACTTTGGTACAAAGGAAATGGAGATACAAAAGAAGGTGAGACAAGTAGAGAGAACTGTTGATAAAGCATACAGTATTCTAGGCTTCATAAATAGGGGCAAAGAGAACAAGAGCAGGGCGGCTATGATAAACATATATAAAGGTACTGGTTAGACCTCAACTGGAGCATTGTGTACAGTTCTAGGTGTCACACTATAGGAAGGGTGTGAATGCATTGGAAAATGTGCAGAAGAGGTTTGTGAGAATAGTTCCAGGAATGAGACAGTGCAGTTATAAGGAAAGATTGAAGAAGTTGAGACTTTATTTTGGAGAAAAGGTGGTGAGGAGATTTTGTAGAAGTAGTTAAAATCATAAATGGTCTATAGGGAGCAGATGGAGGGGGAAACTGTTCCCACTTATAAACAGATTGAGAACCGGAAGACACAATTTTCACATTTTGCAAGAGAAGCAAATGCAAGGTGAGGAAAATCCTTTCCACATGGCGAATGGTTCGGGTCTGGAATGCGCTCCCTTGAAGTTTGGTGAAAACAGGTTCAGTTCAAGCATTCAAGAGGGCATTCAATAATTATTTAAAGAGAAAGAATGTGTTGGGTTACAGGGCCGAATGGCCATTTGCACAGTAACAATTCTGTGATTGGTCAGGGTGTTGTCATAGGGAATGCAGCAGCAATTGGCACGGCCCCATAAAACGTTCTCCTTTGAAAAGGGTGCAATGTATGGACATATTATCTTTCTCTACAAAGAACAGGGACATGTGAAATGAATAAATATAGCTTGTACTATGCACACTAATAAATCACGCTTCAAACCTGACCAATAATCCTAATTTTTTTTATTCATTCACAGAATGTAGGCATTGCTGGCTGGCCAGCATTTATTGCCTATCCCTAGTCACCCTTGAGAAGGTGGTTGTGAATTACTGCAGTCCATTTGGTGTGGGTGGACCCACAATATTGTTGGACAGGAGATTCAGAGACCAAATGGACTGTAGCCTCCTGATGTGGCAGTGTCTGAATAATGGCTTCTGCCACATACTAATTTCAAACATCAGACAATATCAGAGATTGGGATAACCCTTACTTTTGCTGTGAATGTCACAACTTTCTATGTTACCAGATTCTAGCAAGTCGTCTGAAAAGACATTTGCCAAAATCATAGGTTTACACTATATAATGTTTACAAAAGTGAAATAGCTTCATTGGTTTTTGAGTGAAATGGCAACACAGAGAGAAAGCATCTTAGCTGCTGACGGGCTTTGCAGCAGTATAGATAGATCCTATATTCCCAGTTTTCTACGTGCATCAACTGGCATGCATCTATGAATGAGAAAATGCATATACCATAATATTCAAGTGGATGACACAGCAAGCTTGCATTTATTGTTAGGGCTTAACATATACAGACCATCTGCACTGTTTTTATAATGCAGTTGTTCATATCCTGCATTATTTGAACAGCCTGAACATATGAATTAATTTGCAGTTGGATCAAGACCTATTGATTGTAACCTCCTTGCATGACAAGCAGGTTTATGTACAATG